GGCGGGCTTGGTGCGGGCTTGGGGGACGAGGGATAGAGACACAGGCCCAGACCCGCCACCGGGACCTCCGTGCTGATGCGAAGCAGCAGGGCCACGAGAGCTGCTGTTTTCCAGGGAAATACCAGGCCCGGGTGCTGTCCGAGAGCCTCCTCACCCCCGCGGAGTACCAGGAGGAAGTCAGCTACGAGCTGGTCACGGGGAAGGTGGACTCCCTGGGGGCCTTCTTCAGCACCCTCTGTCCAGGTGGGCTTGTGGGGAGGCAGGTGCAAGGCATGAGCGGATCAGACAGATCAAACAAAGACACGGGGGTCCTCGGGGAGCCCGCCCCTCCTGACCTGCCGGGGCGTCCCTTGATCCAGACGTGGGGGCAGGGCCTCTGGCTTGTGCATCAACACTCCTGGCCTCGGCTGGCATGGCTCCTGGCGTGGTCCCCTTGGCTGGCATGGTGGCTGGCATGGCTCCTGGCGTGGTCCCGGCCGGCATCTTCCTCGCTGGCTGTGGGTCCTCCTGGGCATTGCTGTTTCTGTCTTTCTGGGGCACAGGAGGGCCTTGAGCCTGTAGCGCTCTGCCTGTCTCTGCACCGCTCCTACCCGCCCCCCCTTCCCTCCATCACTTGCAGCCTCTCACGGGAGCTGGGCGTCCTCTGTGCCACACGCCGCGGGGTCTGTGCTGTGCGTGCCCTGCTCTGTCCTTTGCCCGGCTGCTCCCCCTCAGGATCCGCCCAGAGTCCCGGAATCCTTCACGGGCCCCTCTTCCAGGACGCGCTTGGCCCCTTCCCTCTGTCCCCCCATCGTCGCCTTCTGTCCCGGCAGCTACGTGTTCCTGCGTAATTTCCCTTCTAGGTTGGACACAGCGGGACCCTCCTGTCTTCCTTTTCTCTGCTCCCCTAGGCCCAGGGCGGTGCCTGGGCACCACCGGCGTCCCTGGGTGTTGGCTGAGCGTCCCTGGGTGTTGGCTGAGTGTCCCTGGGTGTTGGCTAAGTGTCCCGAGATGGAAAACCCATGTCTGTTCCTTCTGTTTTGTGCAGAGGGCGACATTGACATTTTGCTGGACAAATTTCATCAGGAAAATCAAGTCTGCGTTTCCTCCTCGCCCACTGCCGCCTCCGTCACCAAACCCATGTCCCTGGATGTCGGCGGGGCTCTGGCGTGCACAAGTGAGTGTGGAGGGGGAGCTGGCGGCCAGGGCCCCCCCCTTCTCCCCCCCATCCCCCAGGCTACAAGGAAGCAATGTTAGAAGCACACCCAGAGGACTGGGCTTCTCCTTAGCATCCAAGGAGCCCTAATGTCTACCTTTAATTTCAGTCTCGAGTGATGGAGGCCACTTACTCTGAAATGTGCATCCCCTGGCTTGTCCTGAGACGGCGCATTTCTCTGTGTTGAGCCTCATCTTATCCATGATGGTTAAAACAGTTATTCTTGCCCTAGCCGACTCGGCTCAGTGGTTAGAGCGTCGGCCTGTGGACTGAAGGGCCCCAGGTTTGATTCCCGGTCAGGGCACAGGCCTGGGTTGCGGGCGCGATCCCCAGTGTGGGGCGTGCAGGAGGCAGCTGATCCATGATTCTCTCTCATCATTGATGCTTCTATCTCTCTCTCCCTCTTCCTTCCTCTCTGAAATCAATAAAAATATATTTAAAAAATATTTATTCTGACTACGTTCCTGAGGAGCCGACATCCTTTCTTCCTGCAAACTTGCAGCCTCTCCCCAAGTCCAACCTCAGCACCAGCTCCCGCAGGTGCTGTCCCTGCCCCTCGGGTAGAGTAGGTCCCGGCCTGTGTGCTCGGACGAGTAAACGGGGCAGGTGTGTGAGGCGCCCCTGGCGGTGAATAGCCCTGAGCAGGCACATGCTGGTGTGGGTGCTGCCCGGCCCTGTGACCTGCCCTCTGGATGGGCGCACTGTTCCCTGGCAGCGATCCCGGGCCGTGGC